TATCTGACATACACGTCACGTACATGTGGCCTCTACAAGTGTGGTTGCGCTTTGGCATACTTGACTGTCCTGAGCTTGTCTGTTTTTTACACATTACTCAGATGCTCAGTCATGTCCGACTCTTTGGAGACCCCACGGACTGTAGCCCTCCACTTTATCCCTGAGATTCTCCCGGCAAGAATCCTGGAGTGGGGTGTTATTTCCTCCTCCGGGGGATCTTCCCGACCCAGGAATCAAACTCTCATCTCCTGCATTGGCAGGTAGTTTCTTCACCACTAACGCCATCTGTGAAGCCCCTTTTTATGTATTACTTGTGTATAAAGTATTAATATTATAAATCCATTACAGTACTGTATAGCTGATTGTGTTAGTTGAGTACCTAGGCTAACTTTGTGGGACTTATGAATGCCCTCTCAGAATGGAACTCGTTCGTATGTAGGAGAATTACTGTAGTGGGTGGAAAAGCATCCCTAAAAATTTATGTCCATCTGGAATCTCAGATTTTGAAATAATGATCCTTGCATGTCCTTATACAAAGAGGAAAGGCCACACAACACACAAGGAAGAAGGCCACGTGAAGATGTAGGAAGAGATTGGAGTGACAGAGTTACAGGGCAAGGAATGCCAGGGATTGCTGGGAAACATCAAAAGCTAGATAAAATTCTTCCCTAGAGCATTCCGAGGGAGCCTGGCCTTGACAATCCTTGAGTTTGGACTCCTAGCCTCCAGTATTGGTAGACAACAAGTTTGTTTGTGGCAATTTGTTATGGCAGCCTTGGGAAATTAAATGCAAGCAATATCTCTGACTTCTAAACTTTGAAAGTCAAAGGTACCCTTTTCAGTTATAACAAACAAAAATTTCTCCAGATACTGCAAAATGTCTCCTAGTGGGTGCAGACGATGCAAAATAGTTCCCCCTCAGCCCCTCGGTAAGAACTGCTAAGCTAATGGGGCAAAAATGGTAAAAGGACCAAGCAGAGTGGTCCTGGTGAAAGTCTAATGGTGAATGGTGAAAGTCATTCAGTCGTGGCCAAGTCTTTGTGACCCCATGGACTATATAGTCCATGGAATTCTCCAGGCCAGAATACTGGAGTGGGTAGCCTTTCCCTTCTCCAGGGGATCTTCCCAACCCAGGGATGGAACCCAGGTCTCCCACATTGCAGGAGGATTCTTTACTAGCTGAGCCACAAGGGAAGCCCAAGAATAATGCAGTGGGTAAGCCTATCCCTTCTCTAGGGGATCTTCCCCACCCAGGAATCGAACCTGGGTCTCCCGCATTGTGGGTGGATTCTTTACCAACTGAGCTATGAGGGAAGCCCAGGCAACTCATCTAAGCTACTATATTTCTCAGTTTCCGGATCTGTAAGAGGAAGAGAACAATACCAACTTCATAAGACTGTTTTGAGAATGAAATGAGTTAATGAGTATAAAGTGGTGTGAACCACAACACTGTCACCACTGTCACTCCAGGTTGCAACGGTTAGTTTAGGAGCTATCTCCTCATTTAACCAGGAGCTCCTTGACGGACTGAATGGTCTGCTCCATACATTCCCCCCAGGATACTCAAGATCATATACTAGTATGATCAATGCCTATTTAGAAATGTCTTGAGTTTATACCCATTTAATAACCAGCCAAGTTTTTCCCTTCCAGGAATGCAGATTATTGGTATCCAAGAGAAACTGCAGTATGTATGAAGCTCCAGATGGTGAACAGAGAGGCCTCACAGTGAGGTGGAAGAAGGAAGACACTCCTGCCAATTCAATGAACTTTCTGGGTCTCGATTTCTCCATTTGGAAATCAAGAATAGATACTATTACAAGGTTGTTGCAAGGATTTTCATAAACTATGCTCAACATGGTGCCAACGGCATTAGTAACTGCTGAGCAAACAGCTGTTATTATCATCGTTTTAAGAATACTGTTGAAAAAGTAAACAGCGAATGCACCTAGGTATCTAGTCCAAGGCCAGCGATCTCGCTTTGGTCGGCGCTAGGCTGNCTCTAAGTCTCTTTCCAATGCTAAGATTCTATAATAAAATTAAGGTGGAAGCAGATAGAAGGGAGGCTATTGAGATACTTTTAGTGTGAAGCAATATACCTAAGCCAGAGTATAAGCATAGAAGTGGACAGCAAAGAAGGGCTAGCCCAATTTTCTATATTTTTAGCAGTCTGTTTTAATATCTACTATAGCAAGTAAATTGGATATCAAGATTCTGTGAGGTAATTGAGGTTAGTTGTACAACTGACTGGTTTCACATAGAACATCCTGGCCTGGCAGCTGAATAGCTGTTACTGCAAAATGTTTATAAATAGTTTAGGTCAGAATTGAGGTATTATTACTAAAATAGCTACAATCTCGAGTGCTTATTATGTGCCAAGTATTTTGCACATATGACCTAATATAATGAGAAAATAACCCTAGTAAGTTGGTGAGGAAACAGACACAGAAGTTAAGTCACTTTCGTACAGTCACACAGCTAGTCAGTGGTAGAGCTACGATTAAGACTCAGATCACACTATTACATATAAACTTCATAACTAATAGGAAGCTACTGTATAGCACAGAGAAATCTATTCAATGCTCTGTAATGACCTATATGAGAATAGAATAAAAAAGAATAGATATATGTATATGTGAAACTGACTTTGCTGTAAGCAGAAACTAACGCAACTTTGTAAATCAACTATATTCCAATAAAAAATTAATTAAAACAAAGACTGGTGCAACTCCACAGCCTACACTGGGAACATGACATCTGCTGAAAAAGAAAGATGCTTTGATATATCAGGCTTTTCTGTTGAATCTTTCGCACTAATACTAAAATTCAGCCAAACAGGATTTTCAGCGCAGTAAACAGATGTTCAGCTCAATAACATATGAAAATATCAAAGCTGTTCTCTCTCTTATATATACACGTACATACATACATGTGTATTATATTGTTGCTGCTCAGTCGATAAGTTGTGTCCGACTTCTTTTGTGACCCCATGGAACAGAAGGAGCCTGGCAGGCTATAGTCCATGAGTGCATGCTAAGTCGCTTCAGTTGTGTCCAACTCTTTGTGACCCTACAGTCCATAGGGAATTTCCCAGGCAAGACTACTAGAGAGAGTTGCCATTCCCTTCCCCAGAGGATCTTCTCCACCCAGGAATTGAACTCACATTTCCTGCACTGGCATATGGGTTCTTTACCATTGATGTATTACATGAAAGTGAAAGTTGCTCAGTCATGTCCAACTCCTTGCGACCCCATGGACTATATAGACCCCATGGACTATATTCTCCAGGTCAGAATATGGGAGTAGGTAGCCTTTTCCTTCTCCAGGGCATCTTCCCAACCCATGGATCGAACCCAGGTCTCCCACATTGCAGGCAAATTCTTTACCAGCTGAGCCATCAGGGAAACCCTATATACTCATATGTAACATATGGGTTATGTTATATAAGTTGAAAGGGTCACAATCTTGGCATATACAGGATAAACTAGGTTTGTCGTCTCTAATGTTTAAAAACCATCTGTTCAAAGCTCTCCCATCTTTTATAGTAGACATCTAGTGAACACTTCATCCATTGAGTGGCTGGAAATAAAAGAACTGAGAAATATAAACCAAAGTAAACCTCTAAAGATTGTGGATGTGTGTAACTTCAAGAATTCTATAGTGGACTTCCCTGGCTGTCTAGTGGTTAAGAATATGCCTGCCAATGCAGGGGACCCAGGTTTGATCCCTAGTCTGGGAAGATTCCATGGGCCACAGGGCAGCTAAGCCCCTGCGCCACAACTACTGGAGTCCTAGGGTCCCAGAGCCTGTGCTCCACAACAAGAGAAGCCAGAGAGAAGCCTCTGCTCACTGCAACTAGGGAGAACCCTCATGTAGCAACAAAGACCCAGCACAACTAAAAATAAATAAATTAATTAAATTAAAAAATTTTTTAACTCTTTAAATGAAAATTTTCAAAATGCACAAATGTAGAGAAGCTAGCGCAGTGAGCCCTTATTCATTCAATACCCACACATAGCAGTCTTCAACATGTGGCTGCTCTTGTTCCCTCCGTATCCCTACCAACTTCCCACTCATAATTGGCTACTGGGCTATTATGAAGGGAATCTTACAGATACTGTTTATCTGTAAATATTTCAATATATGTCTCTAAGATATAGATTCTTTAAAAAAAAAAACCCCATAATCAATAACCATCAGTTCAGTTCAGCTCAGTTGTGTCTGACTCTTTGTGACCCCGTGNTTGCTTTATTGTACCTTGCAGACATTGTGGTTTTTACAAAACAAAGGTTTGTGGTAACTCTGCATTGAGCAAGCGTATTGATGCCATTGTTTCCCAACAACATTTGCTCATTTTGTGTCTCTGTCACATTTCCGTGATTTTTGAACTATTTCAAGCTTTTTCTTTATATTATTATATTTGTTATGGTGATTTGTGCTCACTGGTTTTTGATGCTACTATTGCAAAGATTATGACCTGCTGAAGGCTCAGATGATGGTTAGCGTTTTTTAGCAATAAAGCATTGTTAGTTAAAGTATGTACTTTTTTAGACATAATGGCGTGCACACTTAGTAGACTACATAATAATGTAAACATAATTCTAATGCACCGAAAAACCAAAAAATTCATGTGACTCACTTTATTGCACTATTTGCTTGATCGAAGTTGTTTGGAACTGAATCCATTATATCCCCAATGTGTGCCTGTAATCCTAGTGCCCTGAACTTTATGGCTCATTAGATGTATATTAAAAAATATATAGAATACGTAAATAGCATTTACTGTGTGCCAGGCACTGTCCCAAAGTCTTTGCTTTCCTTATCACAACCCTCAAAGATAGGTGCTATTATTATTCCCATTTTACAGAGGAAAGCGAGGCACCAAAAGGTTAAGTATCTTACAAGGTCATGCAAAGCTAGTAAGTGTTAAATACTAGGTACTTGGGATTTAAACTCCTTTTGGTGGAACTTGCTCAAGGGCACCCTCTGTTTTGCAGCTATGGAAACTCTGCTCTCAAAACTGAGACAGAGATGTTTGAAAAATATTACAATAAACTGGAGCCCAGGGACCAGCGACCTCCACGATTATCAGAAGTCAAAATAACAGGAGCAGAAATTGCACAGGTATGCAAGGGAGATCTAAGAATTCTTTAAAGCTCTTTGCCCATTTAGATGCACGTAACGTTTGTTATCTGCCTTTGCTGTGCCCTTCTTGGCCAAGTGGCATTTGACTTTCCCCCTGTTCTAAGTTTGGCTCTTTTCCCTCCAAGGTTTCTCTTTAGATTAGGAGTGACATATATATACTACCATGTGTGAAATAGGTTGCCAGCAGGAATCTGCTTATAGCACAGGGACTCAGCCCAGTGCTCTGTGGTGAACTGGAGGGGTGGGGTGGAAAGGGTGAGAGGGAAGCCCGAGAGGGAGGGGCTATATGTATACACATAGCTGATTCACTTCATTGTACAGCAGAAATTAACACAACATTATAAACAATTATACTCCATTAAAAAAAAAAAAAGGGAAGCGGACTAAAAAAAACAGTATGGGGGGGTCTACCTTTTAAGGATCAAACAATGCCATCTTCAGGTCCACACGTTTCCTGGGTCACCTGCTTCTGACCTTAGGCTTCAATGCCCTGTTGTCGTTCAGTCGATTAGTCATGTCTGACTCTCTGCGACCCCATGGAATGTAGCACGCCAGGCTTCCCTGTCCTTCACTATCTCCCAGAGTTTGCTCAAAATCATGTCCGTTGAGTTGATGATGCCATCCAACCATGTCACTGCCTAGGAAATCCAACATTTTTGTCTGTTTTTTGCTGAAAACAATGGCCCCCAGTGCATTTTCTCTTTTACATCCAGCTCAGGAAGCACTGAGCTCCAGGCTTTCCCTGACACTGATTTGACTGCTAGTCTGTAGCAATTTACTATAGTTCAGGGTTTCCCCATGCTCAAGACACTTCCTCTTACTGATTTTCAGTTCATTGTCAGGCATAGACCTTTGAAGTACTTGGCACAGTGCCTTAGGTTGACTTGTGAAATGAACATCACCTCGGGCCCAGTGTCCAGCGTTATTTATCATGGAGCTGGTTCACTCTGGCCATCATTCAGAGTGATTTCTAGCATGTTCGAGTGGTCGTTTTGATACCCACCTTGGGTTGCTTTGTACTGCTTGTGTTACAGTTACGAAGCAGGCGTAAATCCAAGTCCCGCGTGGGCATGGAACGTTTGATGGGCCTCAGTGTGGACCAAAAATTAGAACTTGTGCAAAAGGAGCTGGAAGACGCAAAGGATGAGATCAGGCACATGAGAGCGAACGCTGAGCGCGACCTACAGCATCACGAGGTAGGCCTTCCAGTGGGCCATCCTCCCTGGGCTCCCTGCTTCTGCCTCGGCAAGAAATATCTTTAGTACATTCATATAATTGTTGGAAGTTTGAGAGAAACATGACTCGGATAAAATAAATTGAGGACCTACCTTTAAGGAACTTACCATTTGCTTGAGGGGATATCAAATTTTAAACTTTTTGGTCTTCCCTGGTATTCCAGTGGTTAAGAATCTGCTTTCCGATGCAGGGACACAGGTTTGATCCCTAGTCTGGGAAGATTCCATGGGCCACAGGGCAGCTAAGCCCCTGCGCCACAACTACTGGAGTCCTAGGGTCCCAGAGCCTGTGCTCCACAACAAGAGAAGCCAGAGAGAAGCCTCTACTCGCTGCAACTAGGGAGAGCCCTCATGTAGCAACAAAGACCCAGCACAACTAAAAATAAATAATTAAATTAAAATTTTTTTAAACTCTTTAAATGAAAATTTTCAAAATACACAAATGTAGAGAAGCTAGCACAGTGAGCCCTTATTCATTCAATACCCACACATAGCAGTCATCAACATGTGGCTGCTCTTGTTCCCTCCGTATCCCTACTAACTTCCCACTCGTAATTGGCCACTGGGCTATTATGAAGGGAATCTTACAGATACTGTTTATCTGTAAATATTTCAATATATGTCTCTAAGATATAGATTCTTTTTAAAAAAAAACCCCATAATCAATAACCATCAGTTCAGTTCAGCTCAGTTGCTCAGTCGTGTCTGACTCTTTGTGACCCCGTGAACCGCAGCACTCCAGGCCTCCCTGTCCATCACCAACTCCCAGAGTCTACCCAAACTCATGTCCATTGAGTCAGTGATGCCATCCAACCATAAATGCTCTTAAAAATTCAAAATAATTCCTTAATGATATATGGGGCTTGAGGTTTAAGTCAGTGAGTTAGGTGAAAAATCCCTTGTCACCCTCCATGGGCTGCATCCATGACCGTAGTTCACACCATATGGGAGACCAAGGTGGTCAGTTTTCCAACAGGGAAGAAACATCACACTGTTCATTTGGTTGCCAATAGGATGAAGTTACTGGCTTGCATTTGATAGCCATCTTGTATGAAAAAAATAAATGTTTCTATTCTATTTCTAAATTTTTTCCATTTCTAATGGAGGCATCTTATTCATTTCCTCGAAAGGGACAGATAGTGAACTCGTGTCTCCATTGATAGAACCATCTCTATGGCATAAACCTCTCCTGCCCTTCCCCCTCTCTCCTTCTTTCTCTTTCCCAACATGCTGCATTGAATTCTAACATGTTAAAAGAGCTCAGGATGTGGTATCACTGTCTTCACATGCTGGACTGTGTGATTAAACATCACGGTGTGGGTTAGAGTGGTCAGAGAAGACATGTTGAGGAGGTAGGCCTGGACATAGGACCTGACATGTGAAGAATGATGGCACTTGTTTAAGGAATAGGAAAACAAGGGCACCCTGAGTAAGGTGAATGACATGAACAAGGAAGTGGAGGTGGAATGTTCACAGCAAGTTCATAACCCTGAGGAGGTTGGTGTGGTTAGAAAAGAAGGTGCTTTGGGGGCTGTATTAGGAAATCAGTTTAAGTAGGCAGAGGGGTTTCTCTCTGATGTCTTAGAAAGCAGGACCCCAGTGAGGATAACTGAGCAGGAGAGTGATATATCAGTTCATTCCAGCCGCTCAGTCATGTCTGACTCTTTGTGACCCCAAGGACTGCAGCAAGCCAGGTTTCCTGTCCATCAACAACTACCAGAGCTTACTCAAACTCATGTCCATCACGTCGGTGACACCATCCAACCATCTCACCCTCTGTCATCCCCTTCTCCTCTCACCTTCAATCTTTCCCAGGATTAGGGTCTTTTCCACTAAGTCAGTTCTTCACATCAGGTGGCCAAAGTATTGGAGTTTCGGCTTCAACATCAGTCCTTCCAGTGAATATTCAGGATTGATTTCCTTTAGGATTGACTGGTTGGATCTCCTTGCACTCCAAGAAACTCTCAAAGAGTCTTCTCCAACACCACAGTTCAAAAGCATCAATTCTTCAGTCCTCAGCTTTCTTTATAGTCCAACTCTCACATCCATACATGACCACTGGAAAAACCATACCTTTGACTAGACAGACCTTTGTTGGCAAAGTAATGTCTCTGCTTTTAAATATGCTATCTGGGTTGGTCATAACTTTCCTTTCAAGTAGCAAGTGTTTTTTAATTTCATGGCTGCAGTCACCATCTGCAGTGATTTCGGAGGCTAAAAAAATAAAGTCTGACACTGTTTCCACTGTTTCCCCATCTATTTGCCA